AAACGAAGTTGTTAACTACCCCCTCTTTAAGTATAGCTTGTGGTCAATGGCTGAATGACTGAGATTCTTTGCATATTATCATGAAGAGTTCACTTCCTTAAGGATAAGCACCACTATTTCTAGCTAGCTGGTTCTTTATCAGCATTCAGCAAGAGCTAGAAATAGCCGTAGTGTCTCTGATCATAGAGCACTGGCATAAAAACACAATGGATGCAGACCACTTTCAACTGGTACAGAGTAGTTCAGGGCTACTTCTAGGCTCAGGGGTTATAATAATACTGGAATGTTATTGTTGGGAGTCTCAAGAGATTTGCTGATTTATTTATCTTTAACACAGAGGAGAAAGACATACTGTCACTTCTAGAAAACCATTAGACTCGATCTCAACTACTGTATTGATGAAGTAGGCAGTTTGGGGGGGGAAGCACTGCAATAAAGTAAACAACAGAAAAGAAATTGCAGGAAAGAAAGCATTGTAAATAAATGACATTTTAAAAACCACAAAGATTCTCTCCAAGCCTCCGCGAATAAAACGTTTTTTACCCACCCCACACACTGTATTTTGTTCATCTCATTTTGAGACCTTCGGTCAAGTCACATAACTTTCTTCAAAGAACAGTCTCAGCAAATGATATAATTTTAAATTAATACTTTAAAAGATAGCAAGATTGATTTTTACAGTCTGGATGCTATTACACCTCTGATGATCTCAGCACACCTGAGAACAGGTTTGAGAGTTTTGCTGACACAAACCTCAGATACAGCTCACAGCTAGTGAGAAGAAAGCTTAACCACAAGCTCCAATTCAGAAGGCATGCTAAGTCAAACCTTGACTTAATTCAGAATAGTGCAGGGGTAAAAAGAAAGCCAAACAAAGAGCAGAGTGGCTGCAAACTCTTCTTTGGGAGCAACAGAATATGCTCATGTAAAAAAAAAAAATCATCTTTCCCCAAACGAAAAACTGCAGAGCAGTTTCCTGTATAAATTTGGAGATGGGGAAATAGTTTGGAATACATCACTTATCACACAATAAATGTATCTGTCCTGTTGAAATTTCAGCATGTGTTGAAAATCCTTAACGCTGAACGTGTTACATAGAAGTACATCCTACTGATTTTTAGAGAGACTTGGCTTTGTTCTAACTAATGTGTTTAGGATCAGGGTGTCAGTCTGATTAATTCTGACAAGTGTAGCGTCAATCTCATGTCTGGCAAACTATCAGAGCAGTCTGTCAGTAGTGGAACAGCTTTCTAATCAAATACTCAGTTTAGGTGAATGCTTCACTCATAGCGGTATCAACCTGTAGTTTTTTAAAAAAATAAAAAGCTACAAGCACAACATTCATTTGGCAAAAGTAACATCATCTATTCTTAAACATTATAATGCAGAGCCACATCTAAATTTCTTTTACCCTTGGAGAGGTTATTCACCCTTCTCCATGTGACTGCTTGGACTGCTCGTATTGCAAATTATTAATCTGTCAGCAGCTTTTAAACATCTTCATTAACAGCCATCCATAGCAAAACAAGTTATCCACCAAGTTGGAAAGAGAATATATTCTATTAAACTACATCAGGGGCAGTCAGTGATGCCAGCAGGTATGAAATCCTGTAACAGGAACTCTAAAAGAAATATATACATAAATAATTTTATTTGTACACCACCAGCAAAGCTGGTAAAGACTATATCAGGTAGAGATGGAGAGAGAAAGAAATTGTGAGGGGAAGCATACTTCTCAGCCACCAGAATCTTTGAACATGCGACACTCCAAGTAAGGGCTAATCCGGTGAGAAGGTGATACAATGCAACAGTTCAGGAACATACAAACAGGAATTGAAGGCAGAACAGTTATCCAAACCTAGTTCACATAACCCCTTCCGCCTATTAAAAGAAGGCTGCAGAGTGTCACATAGACAACTGACACCATGATCTTCTGATATCATGTATTCAAACTGCATAAGAAGGAACCCTAGTAACTTTTAAAAAAACAAAAAACAAAAAGCCAAACAAACAAACCCACAAAACAGGAGTTCTAGTCTAATGTATACACACAGAGCGCTAGCAAAGGAGTAATGCGGATTGGGGCCATGGTTCTTCATTGCAAAGAGAATCTCTATGTGGGCACATACATTGTTATATGACTAGAACTCCTTCTGATATAGTTTTAACATATAGACATTGACATGGATGGGCTTGCCTGTGTGATCCTGTATCCCCTGCCACACTTCCACTGAGGTGGTAACATGAACACTCCTCAAAACAAAGTCAAATGTAAGTTCCTTCTATGTTCCTATTTTATAGCTTTGTTTTTGATCTTTTAATTTTCATCTGTTGTTATAATTGTTATAATGTATATAAAATGAAATAATAATAATAATTTGACTACATACTAATACACACCTGAGAATACACCCTATTAAAATAAGCAGGAATTACTTCTTTTTATTTTATTTAAAACACTGATATCCTTAGGAGGAAACATGGATAAGACTATAAGGCCGTAATCTTGTGCGCCTAGTGTAATTTCCATTGAGGGAACTTACTTCTGAGTAAACATGCAAAAGGTCTATTAACTCTATTCTATGTAGTTCATTTCATCCTCATGATTATATTATTTTTGTACTGTATTTTTGTCTATTAGGGTTTGTCTACATTACTCAACTAAAATCACTTTCAGCAAAGTAGTTATTTATAGTGTTCCTTGCAAAATTAATATTATATAGCCCCCGAGGGTACTGCTTGGCTGCCTGACAAAGTGCTGTTGACCAATGCCTGACTGCCAGTAATATCACAAGCTTCATCAACAGAAGTGTCTGATCTATCCACTCAGGGGACCAGATGCAAGGGGAAGCAGTGCTCACTGCAGCCTTTATAAAAGTTGTGTATATGCGTGTAAGAACTGTGTCTTATAATTAGAGAATCATGGCATTTTCAAGACCCTTACAAAAAAGAGAATGTCCTGACATTGAGCATTTGGGTTTCTAGCAGATGATGTGACAGAATCTTGTACTATATACTAGGTTTAAAAGTGCACCTAGTACTTATGATCACTGGGACAGAACGTTAGCCTAGCTACCCTGGAAAGGAAGCATCTAGACTAAATAATCTAGATTAAATAGTCTGCATTGGGAGAACAAAACAATCCTAGGTGAGAGAGAGAGTGGAGCTTAGACACTATATTGGATAAATGACATCACCACCACCTCCACAGGCTTTTTTCTTAAGCAAAATATTTCCACTTTAACTGGGGGAAAGTCAACTTCTAAGCATTTCAGGAGGATCTTGAAAGATATTCTCCAGGCTTGCTATCACCTTGGTGAATGACAAATTTAAAGTGGCATTCAAACAAAAGAAAGACACCTAATGAGACTGAAGGGACAAGCCACTTTCATCCCATTGATTTATGCAAGAGGCAGCACAGAAAAATCAAAAATCGAAAGAAGAGTTGGAGGTGTGTTCTGCTTTGCAATTTGGACAAAGGCTGACTGATATACTTCCCAAGGAACTCCAAATTTTATAAATACATTCATGTACATTGTCTTAAGAGTAACTGCTTTGCACCATGTTGATTTTGTAGCTGCCTTCAGCATGTAAATTAAAACACATTTATATATTGAGTTAATATGGGGGGGCATCCTCATTCGTGGTAACTATTGCTCTGTTTTGGCAAACTGCTCCCTGCAGCTTTCTTTAAGCATTATACTTTCCATGAGATGATGGGAGAGAAGAGCAGGCTTCCCGTGGCAGACACTGGCCATCTGGCATGAGGGCACTCATCCTCACTAAAGTTATCCCTTGTAACTTTAACTGTGTGAAGGAAACTAGTAGTTATTCGTGGCTCATAGTTTGTTCTAAACCAGAACCAGAAACTACCATTTCAAATTATCTTATTCTGGTTTGGAGGCAAACTACTGCTGGTTGGACAAACTATGGGTACAATCTGAATGTCAGAACAAATTATGGCTATTGCAAACCAGAAGAGTGGAGGAAAGGGTCAGCTTACGAAAGGGTAGAGCAGAGCATGTGTGCCCGCAGCACATTCCCAATGGCCAAGCTGCAGTTTGATCATGATGCCTGAACTGGGAGAGTGAGAGCACATATGTGCAGCGAGTTTCTGTATGTCACTGTCACAGCAGATGGAAGTCTCCCAGCTGATGGTTCTGATGAAAATTGTCATATCTGAGAGATCACAGTCTAAACAATTCTTGAGATGTAAGCTATAGTCAGGGCAGAAAAACCATGCTGCATCTCAAACCATAATCATATGATTTCAGGGATGGAAACACTGAACTCTTCTCAATGAACACTGAAAGCATGCCACAAGCACATTTTATTGTGCTATGCTCATGCAAGGGCAACATCCCATCCATGTGTAATAGACTGGAGTAGGGAGGGTGGAAGAGGAGGAACAGATTTTCTGTTGGGCGGGGGTGGTGAGATAAACTTCTTCTTTTTTAAAGATAGATCAGGCATGGGTGTCTGTGCAGGACTGCTTTATGAAACATACCTGCTTCCCTTTTCCCAAGCCACCCTACTGTTTTGTAATAGTTTTCTTTGTAAAATTCTTTGAAGAATGTACACTCCCTTGCAATACTGTTCCCACACAGATGCTCAGGTCTAGTCAATCTGTTATTTTCTATGTCAGTTACCCAAGCGCATCACACACAAGAGCGGGGCAAAAGGTAAGTGTGAATAAGCCCAGGGTCAAAACCACTCAGTAATCAGCTGAAGGGATTTTTAACTAGGTAAATCACCTTAGACAGTCTACCACCCACTCCATACCACTCACTTGCCTGTACATTTAAGTGGTGCTCTTTTTTCATTACACTTTGGAGATAGTTCTGAGATTCTTCTTCATTGGAACTAGATCCCATCTGCACACGCATAGTGGGTAGCCAGAGGAAATAATACATTACAATGTTTTTTGGATGAAAAAAGATAAGTGAACAATTTGATGGGGCCAGTTCATAAGCTTGTAAGAAAAAGGAGCGTCACGGTACCTTTGCAGGTAAAGCATTTGATGTGGAAATGCCTGGCCTGGACCCGAAGAACTTCTCCTTTGCATGGCTCCCCACATTTATGGCAGTGGATGACTGGCTTCTCTGTGGAATGGTGAGGCTCCTGAGGATGTGCCACTGTAAAAATAATGAGAAATTATATGCACAAGACTTTCTTTCAGATTTGTCCAGCTTCTCACAGAGCTTTAACCAAAAAGATGCATTTAAAAAAAAATATGTATGACACATACTAGGGAGCGATGGGGAAAGCAGTTAAGGAAAACACAAGCAATGTCAAACCATAGCTTGCACTAAATGATCTCACACTTGTGATAAGAGCTCCACTGGTAGTGATTTGCCAGATCCACTGGGCTTAAGTGATACCCCTGCCACACCTGTAGGCTTTCCACCCATAGCCAAATATTTTAGATTTCTGTGAATTGCATTCTGCTTCAATAGCCTGACGGTCAATCTACACTTTCATTAAAAAGCATGTGTTCAAACACTCTTGGGATGTAACCTCTTCAGAATCTGAAAGAGGGGATCACATAAAAACAGGCTTCATAGGCCATTTGCAATGTGATGTACACTTCATACAAAGTAAGAAAATACCGGAAGCAGGGGCAGGGATAATAAGAAAATAACTGTGTCAGGCTAACATTCATTTCTGAATCCATCTAAACTCAACAGCTCTTTAACCAAATAATTCTGAGGAAGTCATGTCAGTCAATATTGCTAGCATGCTAAAGTATAAATGTTCACTGTAATATTAGGGATGCAGAGAATCCCAACCCCCAATTTGGAGTAGTTGCTCATTTTAAATATTTTACAGAGCTATAGAAGCCAGACCAGCCTCAACTAGAAGATGGTTACTTAGTGATGCTGGTCCCCATGCTGTGGAACACTTTCCCAGCAGAGATCCTCACTTTTAACTTTCAGGCATCTCCTGAAGACTTCTTCATGTTGACAGTGCCCTGCAGCTGATGAATTTTTATCATGAATAGTCAGTCATTGGCACTTTTAAATGGTTTTTATGTTTTAACATTGTAAATTGCTCTCGTATTTAATGATATGGTGGCACAGAAATAGTTTTATTCAATAGAAACAATTAAAGGTTTCAATTCAGCTGTACTACCTGAGGAATCTATAGACATTCATTTGACTACATGACATATTATGGGCTAAAATGGACTGCAGCCAATTTCTTGATCATGAGTAAGGAGAGGATATAGGAAGACATGTCCTTAACTTAGTCTATTGGAATTAATGGGACATAAAAAGACTGTCACTTTGCTTACATTCATATGTTTCAACCTTTGAATTCTCCCTCCTTCCCTTTTTGTAGATTTGCTTAGTTTATAGGAGTGTAAACATCTATTCTATTTACAGTTGAAAGGTGTGGTGTACATTAATGTAATTCCATAGTACCAAACTTCACATTTAAAATATTTTATGGCAGCAAAACAGCTAGGAAGACAAAATGCTTTTTCCTTAACCCCCGCCACCCACCACACTTCTGATAGGTTTCTTGCTTTCTATTTACAGTGCCCTGTTATTTAATCCATATGAGTGCACAAAACACTGAAGGGAATGCCGACTAATGTTTTAATTAGCAATTATGTCTAAATAAGACCCCAGCAGCACACAGCCTTCGGTGAACCCTCCCTAATCTTTAAGTAATGAAGTTCTATTTTTGGACTACAAGACTGGGGTTATTAGCTTTCCCAAAAAAGACCACTGCATTAACTGGCAACTGAGGTAACACAGTACTTATGAAAGGGAGTGGATGAAGACCACCCCAGGCACTGGGTATTCACTTACAAAATAAAGCTAGCAATAGCATCATTGCAGGCCCAGTTAACATGAAAACACAGGTGCTATGAGGCAGCTTGTTGAGTCCGAAAAACTGTATTAGTTAGTGGTTAGTTGTAAACTGCTTTCATCCTACTCTTGGTGTTGTGGATATATTACTGCAGAAGTCCTGACACCTTAATGCTAACACTCTTCCTATTTAGCAATCCCTCAGCTGAAGTCTTCTCCAAGATTCTATTATACACCCACTCACTCACTCACTCACTCACTCACTCACACTTACTTTTCTCATTTGCACTGTCATTGTACACTTCTGTCTCCTCCTCTCTCACTCTCTCCCTATCTACAAAAGACCATCCTGGAACTGGTGGTGTGACCCACCTGAGGTTGTAGGCCACAGCTTGCCAGCTGAAAACTAATGTTCTCTGCTATTTTCTCTTCCAGCTTCTGTACTGACTTCTCAAAATCCAAAGTTATAAGTGAGGTGCTACAAAAGCCTTTTAAGTTGTCTGTCAAGTGATACTGACATATAAACAAAGTCTCAAACCTGATTAATCAAAGACTATACAGACTTTCTGAACCTGCATCTTCAACATTTCAGCAGCAGCCTGTATTATCTGTTGCTGGTGTAATTTGAACTGTTTACAATAAAGCCTTGATTGACAGTCCTACAAAGAGCCACCTACTGGTATTGTCCTGTGTGGAAGACACTAATTACAGGTTGGTGACATAGCTTCTTTGTATGCCAATGGAAAATTTATATGGATGCAACAAAGTGTAACAAGGGAGAAGTCTTACTACGGATGGAGATGAATAATAGTTTTTAAGTCATATGGAAAAAAAATATTTATTTTGTCGCACTATAATCTTTGGTGAGTTTGTACTGCTTTGAAACTCTATAAAATCCTGCAGAATCTGTGTAACCAAAATAATAATCAAAAATAATCAAAAAATCAGCAGAACAGAAAAAGAGTAAAACCCTACCCACCCCTATATTCTAAAACAAGAAGCAATGTTCCACAAAAATTAAAGGCAAATCAAACATCTTAAAAAGCTTAGATTGAGCATCCCCAACCTCCGGCCCTCCAGGTGTTTTGGACTACAGTTCCCATCATCCCTAACCACTGGTCCTGTTAGCTAGGGATCATGGGAGTTTTAGGCCAAAACATCTGGAGGGCTGCAGGTTAGGGGTGTCTGGCTTGGATGCAGAACACTCAAAAGCTGAAAAAGTAGGACAGTTTTTTTACAAAAATATTACTTGTGCCTTATTTTTATTTAACTTTCTAGCCAAGTTGAAATTATGACACAAGGACTAATGGCACAGTGCAAGTGGTGAGTCATACATAAGCAGCAAGTGGCATTCTTTTGCTTACACTAAAAGGTTCAAAAAAACCTATTATCCAGCCTGCACCAACAAGGTATCATTAAGAAGAAAACCCTTGGAATCCAGACAATGACAAAATAACTTAACCAGAGAACGCTGATCCATTTTGGGTGGATAGGATTCTGCTCCAGCAACCTCAATCTGCCCTCAGCCAGCTGCCAGCCTTCTTACTTATGACCAGTCCAAGAGGTAGCACTATTTGTCGGCTTTCTCCTCCTTAGTGAGTGTTGCCCTTGTAGATCTCAGCAGAGAGGAGAATGGGGTCAAAATTCAATCTATTGGCTCCACCTACTTTTGGGCTCCCTGCCTTCTGCCCTACCAGTTCCAATGAGCAACAGTCAATACTAAATTGAACGAAAATTGCTTGGGATTCCAATTCTAAAGTTCTCCAAGTCAACCTTTGCCCTTCACTTCCTAGCCCTGCACTGCCCAACCCCTCCAGAGAGTCAGGGTGATCAGAAATCCTAGAAACTAAACAAGAGATTAAAAAACAACAACACAGCTGTTAGGGGAGGTTCCAGAGGCATTCAAATATTTCTCATTGGTTCACAGTTTCATTGTGACCAATTCATCTGAATATACTAATATTTCACTTCAACAGAAGAAACAAATATGTGCATTCAAAAACTGAGTATTTGTGTGAAATGAGCTGCCTATTCAGAGGTAACTAAAAATCCTTTGTAAAAGGCGAAAGATTTATACGATCTGAAGAGAAACCAGAGTAGGACATGCCCGAAGATCAAGGCTTTCTGGGAAATGATATATAATGAAATGAAAAAGGTACTTAAATGTACTTTTCTTAAAAAACCAGAGGCCTTTCTCTTGGGCATTGTCGGCCAATTGGTGTCAAAGAAGGACAGAACTTTCTTTATGTATGCTACAACAGCAGCAAGGATACTTATCGCAAAGTATTGGAAGACACAAGATCTACCCACTCTGGAAGAATGGCATATGAAAGTGATGGACTACATGACATTGGCTGAAATGACTGGCAGAATCCGTGATCAGGGAAAAGAGACGGCGGAAGAAGAATGGAAGAAATTTAAAACCTACCTTAAGGACTACTATAAACTTGATGAATGTTAGAATGTCGAGGTTTTTAGAAAGAAAGGGTTACAGCGATATAAGATTAGACTAAAGGAAAGATTAAGATGAAAGAGGTTGGAAAAATATTTAGAAGTTGCTAAAAAATTATGGACATTGGGATGCAGAAAGGGGGGGTATGGGGGAGTCCCGGGAAAGAGGTTTATGAAAAAAATGTTATGAAATTATACATGTTTGTATGTTTTTTTTGGTTGTTTGTTTGTCCTTAAAAATTTGTAAAACCAATAAAAATTTTATAAAAAAATAAAATAAAAATCCTTTGTAAGCACACCATTATAATTCTTGAAAGCCGTATCTATCCCATTTTTTTGCTCAGACATTCTTGCATACCACTGTCGTATTTTGTACGTTCCCTGTTTGTAACCATGAGGACTACACATTTTCTTCATGAGTTTCTCTATACAATCCTTCTATGTCTTCCCTGTACACATATGCCCTCTCCACACGTCAGACCACAGATTACCCCTCACGGAGAAGTAGTGCTCCTGCACTGATTGAAATACAAATTCCAGAGGCAAAATATAGTTTTGGTATTCGTAGCATTACTGCCATTTGTGCCCCATGCATATCTCATAGCCACATCCTGACCAATATATCTGATGGTCGCAATTACATGGCCAGCCACACTCCCCATAGTCCTGAAATTGAAGCTCAGCAACTGAATTCAGCTTCTTGGGAAGAAGCTATTTTTTAAAATAAACCTTTGCCCCACTGGAAATATACATTACATGGTAAAGCTCTCTAATAACAGAGGTGACCTTGCATGCAGCAGAAAGGAGATGCACAGCACTGAAATAGGAAACAAATGGGGAGTATGTGGGTTTTTTTTCTTTTCTTT